TCCCCTCTCCCGAGGTCGAAACGGTAGTCTCGTCCGGCGGCTCGCGCGCTGTCGGAGGTCAGTTTTGCTGTCACTCAAGTTACGAGCGGCCGGGTACTGGTCACCGGGCAGCCCCGGATGGGGGGGAGTGTGCCAGGGACCGTACCTTCAGAACTCCGAAGCAAGGAATGACATGATCTACCCTGGCAGGCCCTCAGCCTGTCCGAGTCACTCGGATCTGAGGTTGCGAGCAGCACTACAGCACGGTACGGTAGTGACGGCCCGGCGCAGCGCGAGTCACTGCTGAGTCGGAACTCGGAACTTCGGAACTTGGGAACGACCTGATGGATCGCATGACGGCGCCGTGGCCCGACGGCCCGCCGGTACGGTCTCGGACTCCCGAGTCCGAGGATCCGAGGCTCGCCCCGGCCGGACGGACGGCCTGGGCCGGGCCCACTGGCCGCCCGGCAGTCACGGCAGTGACGGTCCGATCCTTCAAGTTGGGCCCCAGTAGATACGATTTCAACTTTGTTTTGAAAAATTGAAAGTATAGAAAATTTATTTGAAATCTTCTCAAGACGTCTCTTCGCATTTCATCAGTGCCAACAGTAGGGTTGGGTTACAATGCTCATAGGTGGGGTGATTACAGATGTGGGTACGGGGTAGTGAAGTGTTCAAATATGGTGGGTAATTAGAAGGACTTGTTGGGGTGAAGATTGATTTTTTTGACAATCGGTGGGGTATTATAATATTTAATGGGGGGTAGGGGTGATTTCGATCCTGTGGGGTAGGGGTTGGGCGGTCATCAGCAAAATGGGTTGGCGTAGACAATCTGGAAATAGGAGGTGGTGGTGGAGGAGGAGCAGGAGAAGGAGGAGAAGGCGAAGGAGAAGGAGAAGGAGGTGAAAATATGAAGGAACTTGCAGTGTTTGGTGAGTTGGTGTTGTAGAGATGAAGCATCACTACTGTAGAGTTGGAAGTCAAGAAAATGGTGATATCAACTAGCGTAATTCAATCCCTAACAATGCATACGAAAAGGCTGAAGGTTCAATGGGAAGGAGAGTAACTAATCTGAAACATGAACGAGATTAGTTCATTCCTGACATTTTTCTTTCTTGTTCTTCTCAGGAGGCCCATCGCTGTGGTCAAACCATGGTGCAAGCTGGTGAACTAAGAAACAAGGCGACGCTGGTAGCTTTGTTTGTGACATCTTCATGTCAGGCGGCGCCTTCTCTCCAGCAGCACGATCAGACTCCAACAAGGTTCACATCTCACCTTCAAGATCGTTGCAGTAACATCTCAAGGTGCAGAACCACGGAATGAAGCAGGTCGCTGTCGTGGCGCTTGTCGCCTGCACAGCAGCAGGTGTGTTGAGCGTCATGAGGGTTGGCATGATGCCTGACGTCATGCTCAGCCCTCTTCGTCTTCCAGTACAAGGATCAGACTACCGTCGAGCTGCTCGATCGCAAACTCACTCCCCAGGAGGCCAAGTTTGTGAAGCATGTGAGATGGCGGGCGCGGGGAGGACGTTGGCTGATAGATGTGGCAGTCCATCAGCACCCCCGATGTTGATCTTCACAGGGCCAAGCAGTTCAAGAGCGAGGAGAGCATGAACGACATGAACGCGTTCTATGATCGCATGGCGAAGACTCTCAAGGTCCTTAACCACGAAGAGAAGAAGCCGATGCTGTAAGTCCTGCAGGCTGAAAGAAAGACCAAGAGGCGAGCTGAAGTTGGACAGGAGGGCTAAGGGCAGCACCACCGCTGTGAGGAAGGACATCAACAGCTACTTCAACAAGATGCAAGTAGAGTCGCGCAAGCAAACCTCGGTGAGAAGATGTCCGTCGAAGCTTGTTTGAGACCCTCGCAGTCGAACTTGAAGGCCCATGAAGGAGATGACAAGAAGGCGCTCAATGAGATCCAGAGCTACTTCGACGATCTGAATGCGGTGGGAGGGAGAGGGACGGGGACTGGGGGGTGGGGGTGGGGGTGGGGGTGGGGGAGCAAATTGCGCAAGAGCGTCTGAAGTTTGCTACGAGCAGCAACAAGCGAAGCAGAACAAACTGGACGAGGCAAGGCTGAGGGCCGAAAAGACTTTCCACTCCAAGGTAGGGGGAGGAGAGAGAAAGAGGAAGAGGAAGAGGAAGAGGAAGAGGGGTTAACTTTGCTAAACCCAGCACGGCACTGCCATTCAAGCCTTGAAGGACATCAACAGCTACTTCGACAAGGTAAGAACCTTTTCCCCCTCTCCCTCTCTCACTGATGGCTCTCGTCTCGTCCACAGCTTCAATCTCAGACTAAGAAAGAGGACTTGCGTCACAAGCAGGCTCTCGCAAAGAAGCGCTCGGATCCGTACAGGTACCTGCCGCTGGGTGGTTGCCCTCCTCCCTGACCCCTTCCGTCCTCTCCAGCTTCGTTGTGCCGTCGGCTGCCAAGAACCCGCACCATGGCGAAGCTGTTCATGTCCACAAGCATGACGAGGAGGGGATACAAGAGTCGACGGTGGCGTCAAGAAACGACATCAACTCGTACTTCGACAACTTGAACAAGCAGGAAGCGAAGAAGAATCTGCGCGACCAGCAGGAGCTCTCCAAGTACAAGCGCCAGGCGGTCCCGCGCACGCACTTGAGGTCATCGCCTGCCTTGCTGGCTTTCCCTCCTCTGACTCGCCCTCCAGCGCTGCTCGATCGCAACAGGATCTCAACAGCTACTTCGACACCTTGAGGTCCACTGTTGCTGCCAAGGACGAGGCGGACAGGAAGAGGTAAGTTCTCTCTCCAGCTGTTTCTCAGCTCACTGTGGCAACTTCAGGTTGCGCAAGGACCAGGACCCCGCAAACTTGCAGGAGGGCGTCAACTACGCGTCCAGGCAGGCAAAGGAAGCTCGCAAGGTCGCGATGCTCAAGGCTGAGGCCGCGAAGAAGCTTCAGGCGAAGAAGGTGCCATGTTGCCTGGAGGAACTTGCTGACACTGACCTGTCCTGCTCTCCCCGTGCAGGCAGCCCAGCAGAAGCCGCACAGGGCAGTAGGAGCTGTGTCAGGAGTGTGAGCGAGTTGATGCCGATAAGTCGCTTCGGGAGATTTTGATGCGAGGGGAGCAGGTCTTGCTTCACAGCAGTCTTCTACAAACTTTCGCACGGCAATGAAAAAGTTTTCTCGCGGAGTTTCTTCAGAGTGTCTCCCCTGAGGAAGGGAAGGACACGCGAGCCAGGTCCCTCAACCCTCCTGCACTTGCTGTATGAATTTCTCCCTCTTTTCCTGCGCTCTCGCTTTCTTCGCCGTCGAGGACTCGGCCTAGCAGTCATCCAATCGTCAGAGTCTGACGTTACACCTCCGATCTCCTGCTCCACTCCACCTTCCTCGCTCCAACCCTTCCCTCCTCTTCTCCTCCCTTCCCTCCCTCCTCTTCCTGCTCTCCTTGGCTGCCTGCTGCCACTGCCAACCTTACGCAGCTCCACACGAAGGCCGGCCACGCGAGCGACAGCATTTCCCAGCTCCTTGCGTGCAGCCTGAACAAAACGATGAAGGGGGAGGAGAGGGAGAGTGACGGGGAGACGGAGAGTATGAAATGGCAGAAGGTGGGGTAGGAAGGAGGAGTGAAGGGGGTGGTCAGGGTGGTTTGGGCGGCGAGTTACCTGCACCTCGTCGCTCTCTGACGAAGTCGAATGATCCGTCGACTGTCCAGGGTGAGAGGGCGAAAGTAGAGGCAGGGAGGGCAGGCAGGAAGGCAGGAAGGGAGGCAGGCAGGCAGGCAGGCAGGAAGGCAGGGTGCAAGGCAGGAAGGGAGCAAGGCAGCGAGGCAGGGAAGGAGGCGGGCGGGCAGGCAGGCAGGCAGGCAAGCAGGGAAGGAAGGAAGAAGCGAGGGAGGGAGAAGGGGAGGGATGAGTCAGGTCACCTTCAGCTTGATGACTTTCCTCTTGAGATCGTCCAGCTGCCCCTCAGCCTAAGGAGTCGTAAACCCCAGCAGGAGCGCGACAATATTTCACCTCAGTCAGCTGAGACTTCAAGTCTTGCGACGAGGGAGTCTGGTGGGGACCAGGTGAGGAAGAGACAGTGAGTACAGAGACCTTGTCTTCCCCCCACCTTCTCCTGAGACAGGAGGCTGATGTGAGGAGGAGGCGAGTCGGAGGCTGACTTCAACGCGCTGGCTACCCTCTCTTCCCATCGCTGCGAGGCCTTTCACTGAAGGGGACCGACGACGAGAGCATTACCTCCAGTCTTCTCGTCTCCTCCTCACTCGGGGCGTCCACATTGTTGAGCGACTTCTTGAGGGCCAGGAGGTCCTCCCCCAGCGAGTCTCGTTTGGGTGTCTTGGAGCGTTTCCTGGTGGGGAAGTAGTCAGGCTCGTCAGCCCCGCCGCCTCTCCCCCACCTCTGGACTATTTCCAACTGCTCCAAGACCTCCTGCCATCGCGGAGTGTCAGGGGAAAGAGACTTGCGAGCGAGCGAGCCTTGGGAGGAGTGTCGATGACGATCTGTTGGGGAGACGCGTAGTCGACCAGCACGGGGGCAGCTGGGGAGCTGAGCTGAGGTGAGAGGTTGACCGTTCCTAGTCGCGTGCGGCTTGCGGCCGAGAAGAGCTGAGGGGCAGGAGGAGTATAAGGAGCACTGCTGGGCTGTTCTATCCTGACCTCCTGTGCTGGAGGTCTTCGAGGGACCCCTGGGATAAAAACAACGATCAAGAGCGAGCAAGAGAAATAGCAGAAGGAAATTTCAACGGCTCTGCCCACACACTGGACAAACAAAAGGGTCAGGCGGGACTGAGGCAGGAGGAGGCTGACCCTCTCGTCAGGCTTGTTCTCTGCCATCGCATGTGGAACTCATTCTGCACCTCATCACGCATGCTTGCCAGGTCGTTTTCTGACAAGTTTCACTGAGACGCTCGTCCACCGGCAGGAATGGATCAAGTCACCCGTCGGTCTCGCATGTGGATAAGATGCCTTGTGCGGTGAAGTTTTCTTCTGCACCTCCATCGCCATCATCCTTGTCATCCTCAGCTCGTCAGCTCGGGCCAAGCAAGCGTCAGTTCTCAGCTGACCTCGGCGAGATCCTCGGGTCCAGAGCCCATCTGGGCTGAAGTTGATCTCCTTCCTCCAGCAGCCTCTGAGAGAGCAGGACGTGACGGGGCATACGACAGACTTCTGTCCTACCTTCAACCTTCCTTCCCTCCAAGCCTCGTTCAGATCAGACTGTTTCTCGCCTGCCAGGGTGTGAGCGAGCACGCTAAGATGCAGACGTGCTTACCTTTTGACCTCTGTCCAATCTTATTCAGATCCCTGCCACAGCAACTTTGCTCGGCACCCATCGCGGGGGACTGAGAAGACTAGAAGGAGCGATTTTTACACCCGCAGCATCGACCTGAGCGAGAAAGAGCAGGATCACAAGGCTGATACATAACAGAAGAATCGATGAAAAGACATTCAGCAGATTGCAAGGAGGCGAAGAGGAATTGACCGACTATCTAGAGATTCAAATTTGACCACCCAAACGCAGCCAACACAACTGCATCGACTGAAGTCGACAGTTCACATGTGTCGAAACCTGATCTCGACTCATCTCTTCCTGTACCGCTGCTCCTCTTTTTTACCTTCACCTTCTACCACTATCTCTTCCTCTTTCCTTGTGTTTTCTCTTTCTCCTCTCTATCGCTACACACCCATCCTCTCGCTTCATCATTCTCCCTTCCATCTCTCCCACCTTCTGTCCTTGTCTCTGTCTCTGCCTGTCCCTCTGCCACTGCCTGTCTCTCTGTCTCTCTGTCTCTCTGTCTCTCTGTCTGTCTGTCTGTCTGTCTCTCTCTCTCCTTGACTTTCACTTTCACATCTTTCATCTTGTCTCCTCTTCTCGTGTTCTCACCATCTTCCTCACTCCTTTCCTCTGCGCTCCTTCCCTCTTCCTTCCTGTCCCTGTCCCTGTCCCTGTCCCTGTCCCTGTCCCTGTCCCTGTCCCTGTCCCTGTCCCTGTCCCTGTCCCTGTCCCTGTCCCTGACACCTAAGTTCAGCTCCTTTCATCTCTCCTCTTCCTCCCACTTCTTTCCGCTCTAAATGTAGTCTGCATTGCCGTTCGACATGACTTTTTTAATTCCACCCCCTACCCCCCCATATTCCCAGAAACGGGGTGATTCTCGTGGAGTCCAGCGGGTAGGTTGGGGGCCGCTCGGACGGCGCGGCCCGTCGGAGTTGAGAGGCTCAGTGACTGAATACTTTTTAACTTAACTTTGAGTAAAGAGCTTCGGAGTTCAAGTCCGACCTTGAAGCCTAAAGGGCCCGAGGCCGCCGGGCTCACAGTCACAGCCGCGGCCCGGCCCGGGCACGCCGCCGCGAGTCTACTAGTCCCGGCCTTCACTCAAGCCTGCCCGGGAGTCCAACAAATAGTATAAGTTAATTTCTTTTTTTTCTTCTCCAAATACCGTACAACTATAAGTCATTTTAATTTAGCTCAAGAAACGGCCCTAAAACTTCAACTTTCACGCGCGGCTCAACGGGGGGATGAGCGGTCGTCGGTCACAGTGAAGTCCGGACTGACTTGAAGGTCATTCCCCCTCTTTCAATTTATAACTGTAACACCCTGAACTCAATTTGTAAACTCCACTTGAAGTGTTCAAATTTTCAGAAGGAACATATTCAATCCACGCATCGGATCTCAGTTAAATTTGAATTTGTTGTAATAAAGTAACCCAACCCAGACTTTACACTAATGTTTAGTCAAAACCATATACTATACTAATGTTTAGTCAAACCCAAAGAACTTGGGAAACCATCAATTGGAAACATTTTTTTTATGTGCTTGTACGCGCTACAAAGATTTCGTTTAAAACAACTTTTATAGTCGCAGCTGCGGTACAATCTCGTTCGGAGCAGATACCGACGACCTCTCGGCCCCTACCATTATAGATTAACGGTCGATGATATACCGGTACTTTCCCCGGGACTTTTTACCCGTACTTTCCACTGTAAAATGACCAGATACTGAGACGTTTTAACAACCGGGGGGTTCGTTGATTTCTAGCTCCTCGTGCGGCAAGGCGTATTATCGCGTCCATGTCCAGGTCAAGCTCGACGCCTCTGCTGCTCCTGTGCCTGGCTGGGCTTCAGTTCGCCCTCGCCTACGATGTCTTCGACGGCTACTACCCTGCCCTCTACAAGGTCGACTTCATCGGGAACGACATCCCCGTCAACGGCACCATCGGGAAGTTGTCGATCTCCATGTCTGACTGCGCGACCTTATGTAACGCCACCTCGGAGTGTCGGGGCTTCACCTACCAGAAGAGAGCGAGCACCGAGCTGAGCACCTGCTTCGTCAAGTCGATGATGGTGGGTGTTGGTACCGACACCAGCGCCTTCGTCAACGCCGACCCCTACTCGTACATCAGGAGGTCCGTTGCCGCCGACGTGTCCGGCTACCCGAAGCACGAAGTAGGATACGATTATCCCGGGAATGACATTCAGTCATCCATCGCAGTCAAGGATGCAGCCGCTTGTGGACAGGAATGCAACAAAGCCACAAACTGTGCGGGGTTCGTCTACTACCCCATCCCCTTCTCGGGGCAGATCTACAATCAGCAAGCAACGGTGGGGGCAGGTACATGCGCGATCAAGACGGCGATGAAGGGGGAAGTACCAGTTTCCAGCAGATCAGAGATCCAAGCCTATCACAAGTACATGCGCGATCAAGACGGCGATGAAGGGGAAGTACCAGTTTCCAGCAGGATCAGAGATCCAAGCCTATCACAAGTCAGCGGCTCCCTCCACTCAGTCTCTCTCTCTCGCCCTCAGCTTCTTGACTATCTTGTTCCACCTGTCGCTCAGGTCCAGCCCGTGATGCGAACAGAATGGCGGGTCAAGAATGAGCACGTCCTAGTAAGATGGATCATATCCTAATATCAACGAGCGTCCTAGTAAGATGGATCATATCCTAGCAAGAATGAACATCCTAGTAAGTGTTTCATCTAGAAATCAATGACCTCTCAGATTCATGACCCTCCCCGCCATGTTCTGCTGCCGCTGCAGATCACCAGCCATTCCTCCGCTTCTGATTGGAATCAGACGGGGATCTGATTTCGATACATTCCTTCTCGTTCGTCAGACATTCGGGGGGATCTATTATTTGATCGTCGTTTTATAGATGATCACGCCCATAACTTCCTTGTGTTTTCATCACAACAATTGCACACGCCTTGATCACATTGAAGCACTGTTTGAAGGTCAAATCCAAGGAATTGCAAGAGAGTTTCTCTCTTCACCAGATCTCGTTTGGCATGTCATGGCACATATGACATTGCTGTCATCATCATTTGCATACATGTCAAGATTCAAGTGCTCTTGATCGCACGACATGACTACTTGGGCCCGGTCCAGCTGAAGGGTCATTGCACTCCAGTGAGGCTCAGCTACACACTCATGAAGCGTGTAAGCCTTCAAGACTGTTCATCTTCCACGTTCGTCCCGGCATCATAGCTACGGTCAAGCTGGCACTCAGACAGGGGTCCGGCACCGTGACTCGCCAAGCTCAGATTGACCCTCATACCGCACTGCAAGGTATTGAGTGCTCGCCCGGCGGTGTTCCGTCATGATGACACGTCTGCAACCTGCTCCGTCGGACGTTCACCGTGCCGTCTCACTGGCACGGTGCCATCGCCGAGTAGCCGATGGCGCTGACTTGAAACCAGCTTGAAACTCTCTCAGGCCCGCGGTACTGTATGAGCGATGTGTCAAAGTTGACAAGGTGATGGATAGAATGGCCAAGCCCAACGTTCCTCACCCTTGGTAAGGCGAGCGGGGCCGAGAAGGAGACGAAGAGCAGCAGCGTTGAGAGAGACAGGGGAGGAGAGGAGTGAGTCTAGGAGGGAGGGAGGAGCGAGGAGGAGCAGCAAAGAAAAGCATGCGGGCTGAGCAACAAGCTACAGGTGATGACAGGCATCTGAACAAATCGTAAAGGCTGAGAAAGAGGAGAAGGAGGAGGAGGAGGAGGAGGAGTACTTTGTGTACCCACCTTTGCAATGGCGAGCCCATTACAAGCAAAGCTTCTGCAGGATGAGCACGCGGATGGTACGGGGCATGCTGTTGTGGATGTATGATACCAAAGATCAGCTTGAAAGAGCAATGGGTATTCTCCTCCTCACCTTCAATCCTCATCCTCCTCCTCCTCCTCCTCCTCCTCCTCCTCTTCCTCCTCCTTCTCTTCCTTTGCTCTGCTTCCTCGTCCGCTTCGTTATTTTCTCATGGTCCATGTAGGCTGTGGTGTTCACGACCGATGTCGGCGTCATCCGTTGCATAGCAGACATGAGGTGTCGTCCTTGACGTCTTCGTCTCTGAAAGATTCTTTAAGATCTCGCGGCGCTTGTGTGGGGCTGGTCATCCACGAGGTCAGCGACAGCCCTGCTGATGTCCACCTGACTTTGACGGCAGAACCCGCCGGAAGAGAGGCACTTCGACTTCACCATCTCCTTCAAGTATCTTCTCAACGCAGCTGAATCGACCAAGACCTCTACCCCTTGTGGAACTCCGAGGTGAAGGGTGCCAGAAAAAGGCTGGAGTTGACCTGCACCTGCAGAGCAAGTGACAAGGTCAGGCAGGACGCTTCCTTGGGTCTGATCCTCCTGCTCGTGAGTCCGCCTGACCCGTGTGCAGGTGAAGGTGAGGGCGTCAACAGCCCAGCAGGCACGATCGATTCGTTCCCGAGAGTCAGCAGGAGGGGCTCGGAGGAGGAGGCACAGAGCGAGAGGGAGCAGAACCTTGCGAGCAGACCCGACGAAAGCATGCTGTCCTGCTCCTCTAGCCCTTGGAGTCCAGCTGAGAGGAGGGAGAAGCGGGAAGGAATAAAGTCCAGCATGAACGCTGTGCTCGGAAGTAAATGGCACCAGTCAATGCTGATCCAGCACAACGCCGCTCACGGGATGAGCGGCCACGCATGATCTTCGTGATGTTTGAACCTGTTATGCTGATGCCAGGTACAGTCAACGCAACCTTGCCTTACTTTGAAGTTGGTGGAAACATTCTTTTTATGTGCTTGTACGCGCTACAAAGATTCACCTCAGCAGCGAACGCGTCGGTTGACCGTGACCTGGCAGTAACTCGAGCAGGTCACGTCACCTCGCGGAGCTACTGGTAGTAAACTTCGTAAAGTCGCAGCTGCGGTACAATCTCGTTCGGAGCAGATACCGACGACCTCTCGGCCCCTCAGGGAACAAATGGCTGACATTTCATTTTGCAAATTCTTTTGCTCTTGCTTGGATGGATGGAACTTGAGCCCAATAGTATGTAAGTCGCATATGCAATGATGCGCTCAGAGGGACGATTGGCTGACATTTACTTTGCAAAACCCTGGTGTTTCCTTGCTTACATGGATTTAATTCGCCTTCGTAGAACGTAAGTGTCATATCATATGATGCACTCAGCGCATACTAGTTCATGACCAGGTACTGAGACGTTTTAACAACCGGGGGGTTCGTTGATTTCTAGCTCCTCGTGCGGCAAGGCGTATTATCGCGTCCATGTCCAGGTCAAGCTCGACGCCTCTGCTGCTCCTGTGCCTGGCTGGGCTTCAGTTCGCCCTCGCCTACGATGTCTTCGACGGCTACTACCCTGCCCTCTACAAGGTCGACTTCATCGGGAACGACATCCCCGTCAACGGCACCATCGGGAAGTTGTCGATCTCCATGTCTGACTGCGCGACCTTATGTAACGCCACCTCGGAGTGTCGGGGCTTCACCTACCAGAAGAGAGCGAGCACCGAGCTGAGCTCCTGCTTCGTCAAGTCGATGATGGTGGGTGTTGGTACCGACACCAGCGCCTTCGTCAACGCCGACCCCTACTCGTACATCAGGAGGTCCGTTGCCGCCGACGTGTCCGGCTACCCGAAGCACGAAGTAGGATACGATTATCCCGGGAATGACATTCAGTCATCCATCGCAGTCAAGGATGCAGCCGCTTGTGGACAGGAATGCAACAAAGCCACAAACTGTGCGGGGTTCGTCTACTACCCCATCCCCTTCTCGGGGCAGATCTACAATCAGCAAGCAACGGTGGGGGCAGGTACATGCGCGATCAAGACGGCGATGAAGGGGAAGTACCAGTTTCCAGCAGGATCAGAGATCCAAGCCTATCACAAGTCAGCGGCTCCCTCCACTCAGTCTCTCTCTCTCGCCCTCAGCTTCTTGACTATCTTGTTCCACCTGTCGCTCAGGTCCAGCCCGTGATGCGAACAGAATGGCGGGTCAAGAATGAGCACGTCC